GTGTAGATAGGGATGGACAAGTTGAACACTGACTAACCAAAAATGGGAGAAGGGATACAAAGGTAAGAAGTGACTGGCTTACAAGCTTTCAAGAGGGAACCTAGATCCACAGGGTGGGGAGGATGGTAGAGTCTCCAGTGAGTAGTATCCGACCTGTCTAGGAAGGGCAGATGAAAAGAAATGCAGATGGGTCCTTTGGGATGCAAGGGTGAATAATTGTCACCAGGACTGACTGTGAGGACTGGAAATGTAAAGGTGGATATTTTATAGCAAGGAGGGGAGTGATTAACCTTTCAGTCTAGAAGCAGAGGGTCCTGGGACCATCAATGGAGAAGAGCAGAGAGCGGGACCCCACCCAAAGGAGCAGTGAGGCCTGAGACTGAGACAGAGAGGATGACGTGAAGAGAGAGGATGACGTGAAGAGATGGAGTGGCTGGGGACTAGGGATCCAGAGAGGGAGAGGGGCTGTGTACTGAGGACTGTGAGGGCAGTGTGGGCGGGATTGCAGGGTATACCCTTTGGTTGGGTGATGATGCATGGACAGGATGGTAACTATGGCAATGAGACCATGTATGATGGAATGAATGTAAAACTAATGTTCCCCCATGTAGACTATCACACAATACACAATAAAACATTAAAAAAAAAAAAAGAAAAGAAAAAGAAGAAGATTAAGAATCTTGGTATTTCAGATTGTATCCTAAGACTTTCTTTTAAGAAGATTAAGAATCTTGGTGTTTTTAGGTGCCTTCAACTCAGTCCCAACTCATATTGACATTATGCAAAACAGAATGAAACACTGCCCAGTTCTAAGAAAACTTGCAAACAACTGTATCAATAACCAAAGCCCTTTTAAATACTGGCAAAGGAATCAAGGCTGAGTAGTGATGCTCTTATGTTGGGAGAAAATTTACAGTTGTACATTTGTTGAACTATGACTGTATCTAGGATATTATCCACCACCTGAAACAATAATCTGGGAGCCAACTATCACGGCAGTTGCCATGTCTAAGAGAACAGTGAAATCAAAGTACAAATACAGGTTACTGCTCTGAAAGGGGTCACATCTCCTGGACAGAGTGGAAGAATACGTGGAACGAAACTCAAAATTTTTAAAGAATAAAGACCAGGATTACAGGTCAGAATGAGACCAGAAGAAACTGAAACTATAGCTCCCAACTACCCTTCAGGTCTGGAAAGGAACTCACCCTCGTGGTACAAATTTCAGTCAAGCACTAAAGGTCTACAGCGGGGACAACAACTCTAGTAAGGTATGTTCACCATGGAACCATCAATCATTCAAAATCAAAAGGGCAACGTTTACCTGAGGACAGAGTTGAGAAGGGAAGGGAAGGTGGGGGGAATGGAAACAGGAACCACAGGGAGGATTTTTGTTTTTGTTACATTTAGGTGCAACCCATATTGAAGGCTCTGGTCTTTGATTTTCATCAATAAGTATTTTAACTCTTTGATTATAACAGGCAAGGTTGTATCATCTGCATATTGCAGGTTGTTAATGAGTCTTCCCTCCAATCCTCCAAACCTTTCTCTGATTATCTGCTCAGCATACAGATTGAAAAAGTATGGTGAAAGAATACAAACTTAGAGCACAACTTTGCTCACTTTAAACCATTCATTGTTCCCTCATGCTGTTTGAACAACTGCCTCTTGGTCTATGTACCAGTTCCTCAAGAGCACAATTAAGTGTTCCGAATACTCATTCTCAATAATGCTGTCCAAAGCTTGTCATGAGCAGTCAATAAAGCACAGGTATTTCTGGTATTCTCTGTTTTCAGCCAAGATCCATCTTATGTCAGCAATGATATCCCTCGTTCCATATCCTCTTCTGAATCTGGCTCGAACCTCTGGCAGTTCTCTGTCAATATATGGTTACAGCTGTTTTTAAATTACCTTTAGCCAAATTTTGCTTGCATGGGATATTAATGATATTGTCCAATGATTTCCACATTCCGTTGGGGCACCGCTCTTTGGAATGGGCACAAATATGGATACCTTCAAGTCAGTTGGCCAGGTAGAGTTGTCTTCCAAATTTCTTGGCATAAATGAATGAGTGCCAGTGCTGCCTCCATTTGTTGAAAGACTTCAATTTGTATTCCATTAATGTTCTTTGCCAATGACTTCAAAGAAACTTGGACTTCTTCCTTCAGTACCACTGACACTTGATCATATGCAACCTTGTCTATGGACCACCGTAATCTAGAACCATGGTTTAGAATAGGGTTAAATTGGACTCCCATTCTATACGTATAATATTATCTCCAAAAATGAACAAAGGACCACGGATATTTAAAAAAACAAAATCAAAGCCTAGATAGCTTCTGGAACTGTGAAGACTGACTTAACCTCCAGAAATGCTTGTTTAATCTAACTCTACACAACCCCTGGCTTAGCCAAACCAGATCCTAGTAATGAGCATCAGCAGAAGGTGGGTAACAGTTAATAACCAATTTGCTTACTTGAATATACTAAAAACATCGGTAATCTGTGAGTTAGAGTTCCTTGATACGAGAAATTCATAAAATAAGCACAAATAATATTGTTGCAAGCTGAGTTGATTGTACAGAAATGTTAACGGTACTTCCGAGGCTGTAGTCTTTCCAGTATCAAATCACTAAGGCTTTCATCCTGAGAAGCCAGTGGGTTCAAACGACTGACATTTAGGGTTACCAGCCCATGCTTGATGGATGCGCCAACAGGGCTCCTCCTACACCAAATGTGGAAGTAAATACTGTTTTCCAAACCAAGTTAGTTTATGAATTTCACAACATATGCCATACAAACATTTTTCACTTATTTGTTTTCACGTCATACAATTCTATTCTTAACAATTGTCTAACGCATATTGGAAAAAGTCAGTATTTTGAAGAATATAGAGTGCTATTGATCTTTTAGAACAAACTGAATAGACAGAAATCAGAAATAAAGGATGGAAAGACATGCTCAAGTTAGAGAATCTCCATTTACAACAACAACAACAAAAAAGTTTCATCATAGTTAAATAATTTTTTTGAATAAAGAAGATTGCTAGAATAATGTAAAAGCTATACTACTGGGACAATAGCAAAATGGAAAAAGGAGTTGAAGACCAACATTCAAATCTCAGATCCCAGCCATCATTCACTAGCTGCGTATGTACGTGATTATAAGTAGATTATTACTCTCTATGAACCCTAAGACCCTCATCAGCAAAATCTTCAAATCTATGTTACAACACGCCTGTAATAACACATTTGAACATAGAGGAGTTAACATATATGAAAATGCCTGACACAATGACTGACCTTGAGTGACACTGTAGGAAGTGAATAACTCTTTCTTCTCTCTCTTACTCCTTTTTAGTATTTGGATTATTTCATAGGCAGAGCCATGGCTGATTTGCAAATGATTTGTCACAGACTCCACTGTCGCTCATCTATTCGACACAATTGTTTCATGTGTAGTTCAATGCTGTCATCAGCTGTGGATGTGGATGAGTGTTTTAATACAGCAGTAGTGTGGACTATTTTTGACTCACCCTCTTGTGTGTAGGAGTGGCTGGAGGGTTTGAATCACTGACCTTATGGTTAGTAGTCCAGTGTTTATCATACAGTGCCATACCAGGACTCCTATATACATGTACATGTGCATATATATATGTTGTTGATGTAGAGTGACGTTGAGTCAGTTACAACCCACAGCAACCCTGTATAGGGTTTTCAAGGAGTGGATGCTGAGCCTGAACCACCGATTTTGTGGTTCAAACACCAACTTTGCAGTCCAGTGCCACACCAGGCCTCCGTACATATATATGTATATACGTATACATACATATACATGTGTGTGTGTGGATGTAGATAGATAGATAGATAGATAGAGATAGATACACATATAATATTTTGTCCCTTTAACCTTCTTTAAAGTATACAATTCAGTAACTTAATTACATATATCATGTTGTCCAACCTCCTCTACTATTCCAATAATACGTCACCACTTCTAACAGAAACTCAGTATCCCTTAAGCAATAATTCCATATACGCTCTTGGTCCGAGTCCATGATAACCATTAATAAACTTCTGTTTCTATGCATTTGCCTATGTGGAATCATACAACTGTCTTTTTGTAGACACAGCCTTATTTCACTAAGCACATTTTCATGGTTCATCCATGTTGTAGCATACATTACAGCTTCATTTCTCTTTATGGTTGACTAGTACTCCATCCCATTGTATGGATAAACCCCATTTTGTTTATCCATTCCTCTGTTACTGGACACCTGAGTTATTGTTACCTTTTGATGATCTCCTACACCTTCTTAATAAACAGAACTTAAGAGTCTACTGCACAACTCATGAAAAAAGTAAAAGTAACACTGTTTTCAAAAGTAAGCGATTTCCTCAGCTCAATTTTGCTTTTAGTACAGATATGATTCTAGGGATGAAAAAACAAAAAGTATATCCTGAGAAGCATCTCACAAGCAGCTCTGTTTGTTTCACACTGACATCCTTTGTGGTTATAATGCAGGCTTCCAAAGAACTCAGGATCAGAATTAACATTCTAGGCAGGCATTCAATTTCTAGAATTGTGTCCATTCTTCACAGATCATGGGAAAAGAAAGCTTTATAAGTTATTTACTGAAGAAATTCCCATAGTACTCTTATAAAGTTTGCTTCCAAAAGAGGCCCTGCCCCTGTAATGTATCTGTGTAAGTGAAAGCTCTCCCAGGTTTCTTACATTATACTTTAGAAATTTTAGCAGGGTAATAAAATCAGATTTTTAAGAGAGCTTTTCCTGAGGCCAGGCCACAGCAATTTTCCAAAGGTGCATGATAAATAAGAAGAAAAGAGAATAAGCAAATACAAAATTAAAAATCATTAATACAAAATGATTTATGACCAGGTTTCAAATAAAGTTAAATATAAAATAATTAGCAGAAATCATTGAGTTTAAATAAGATGGCACAAATACAAGTATCCAAATCAAAATCAGGTAATAGGTACCTCTGTGGCCTTGTTTGGTGGTTCCAGTCCAGTCATATTTGCTACTATTAACTGATGTAAGAGTTGAACTTGAGCCACACTTAGGAAGAAGTCCAGGTTTGTGGTTATATTCACTTCCAAGGAATGACCACACACTAAAATCTCCTGAAGGAAAAAAAGGATGACTAGAGATAAAGAAACATGATAGCCATTATATGATCATTTAGCATTCTTGGTTTCTCGATTTTCATTACTATTATGGTTTCCTGGGACTTAAGTTTATATGTTAAAAAGAATAGCAGAAATTGTGAGCATACCCAAAAGACACAGTTTAATGGATTAATAAACACTTGTGTTCCAGGCCTTTTGTTAGTTACAGGGCAACAAATTAATAGTAAGAATTTTTCACTTTTTGATATCCATTTAACTTTCTCATTCTTTTACTACTACCATTGTTTCAGTAAGTAATAGTGTTTATTCATGGAAACCAACATACATTTACTGCGCATCGCCTAAGTCCCAGGCACTTCATTAAAGCAGTAGGACTTCACAGAGAATGACGTTGGCCTTGAGAGGCAACCTGCTCTTGAGGCTGGACAAGCAGATGTAAACAGGCAATTGCAGGCAGGCAATTACAATCACAAGTGCTATGGTCTGAGCATTTCTCAAAGGAACAGGCTTCAAATCACTTATAACAAATTACAGTGCTGAAGCCAGAGAGAGCTAGACTAATTAATTTCACTTCTTTTTCAATCTGCTAAAATCTTGGCAGCATTAGGTAGATGTTCATTACTTAACTGGTGCTTTTCTTCATAACTGAATCACTTGAACATTCATCATTCATTGGAAAACCATTCAGAGAAGGAAAACAGAAATGAAAACCAATCCAGAAGCTTCACTTAATAAGCAGAAGTAGTCCTGCCTCTTGTCATGAAATGCATGTGGATAATGTTCAAATGCTAAGTAAGAAATGTGCACTAGACCTTCTCCTTATTACTGTCATGCAAGGAAATGGATTTCAGGAGACTATGGTTGGCCAAAATACAAACTAGACAGCTTAGAGCAGCTTTTAATAAAGCCATAAACAACAGCATGTCTGAAATGGTTATCCTACTTGGTTAATTAATTCTCCTTCTAAGAATTTCCTGCAATTTACTTATTATAATTTAAATTCTTATTTTCCTCTTAATGTAATTATTAAAAGCAGTAAAAAGCACACTGAATCAGACATTTTTTGTTTTAAAATTGTCACTTAAATATTTCCCAAAAGAGTTAAAAGTTTTACTAGAAATATCTTACTTCTATCCATGGCATACCTCCTGCAAAAACTGTTGCTAAGTGCTGTTGAGCCAGTTCCAACTCATACGACCCTATATAGGGTTTCTGAGGAACAGCTGGTGGGTCTGAACCACCAACCTTGTGGTTCAAACCAACTGTGCGGTCCAGTGCTTATACTACAGCAGCACATAAAGATTTCTCCTGCAAAAACTGTTGTTGAGAGTTGTCAAGTCGGTTCCAATCATAGCGAAACTGTACAGAGTTTCCAAGGAGTGACTAGTGTGTTTGAACCACTGACTTTGTGTGTAATAATAGCCCAGTGCTTATCCTACAGTGTCGCATCTGTACAAACTAGTACCTAATTAATCTTAAAGTGGGAGATAAAATTGTACATAATGCAGTAGGCAAAATCAGCAGCTGACAAATACCATACAAATAACATCCTTTCTATTTTTATAGAAAGTTCATTTTCTCAGATTCCTCTTATAAATTGTTTTCTCTTTTGGTAAGTTTGATCCTCTAAGAAGGCATGTGTATAAGGAAACTGACACAGTAAGAACTTCAAGTGAATAGCTTATGAGGGTGTCCTGGAGTAATAACCCCAGTTTGACTGAGAACGAGGTTTTCTGGTCTCCAGCTTCATGCTTCTTTCACTTGGGAATGGGGAGCTTTATAAAAACGTCTTTGAATTAGAAGATGAGACTCTAAGTAAAGATAGTATTTTATTAAGCAGTTTGATATATACTTACTTTTGTTTCTCAATTCCATGAATTTAAGCATTGGGAATCAGAACAAAAAGTATTTTCAGGGGAAGAAAAACCTTAATTATTCCCTGTAATTATACCATTTCCTTTCTATGAGGCAAAATATACATAGCAAATAGAAACAACTCTACTTGAGAGTAAACTGAATCACATTTAATTCACTTTCATAATAACATTGTTGGTTTGTTGTTATGTGCCGTGGAGTCGGTTCCGACTCATAGTGACCCTGTACAGGGTTTCCGAGGCTGTAAATCTTTATGGGAGCAGAAAGCCTCATCTTTCTCCCGCAGAACAGCTGGTAGTTTCGAACTGCTGATCCTGAGGCTCACAGCCTGATTCGTAACCACTACGCTACCAGCAACATTAGTCTAAAATAAATAAATTAAGGGGGTTACTAAAGGAAGAGTTTGAAAATGTACCCTAAACTAACTGTGTTACTAAGCAATTGAAATATAGTAGACTTATTAAGGTGTCCTGGTGGTGCACTGGTTATTAACTTGGCTGTTAACCGAAAGGTTCGAAGTCTGTAATCACCTATTAACTCCTTGGGAGAAAGACAGGACAATGTGCTCTCGTAAAAGTTACAGGCAGGAAAATACTATGGGGCCGTTCTATTCTGTTACATGGGGTCGCTATGATTTATAATCGACTCAACCACATCCAATAACAACAAAAATAGACTTAGTTAATCTTTATGCACCTTTTGTGGATACTTTAGATATCCAGGCTAACCTAACTTTCCTAAGGTTACTATATACATTGCATGACAGCATATACTATTAAATTGGATTAATATATGTGAGATCTAGTTTTTCTGAACTTTTCTTAACAATGGCCTATAAATCTGCGAATAACAAAAAAGAGGTGTTTAGCATAACAATTTTCTATGAAGAATACTTTTCAAGTTATAGTAAACATCATTACTATGTAGCAATTCCAGTGAGGAATGAGGACAGTACACCAGGGTGATCAGACTTGAAATTGAAGTCCACCAAGTTATTGATGATGTGACAATGATCAATTACTGCTTTTCTGACCTCAGTTTCCTAATCTATAAAGCATGGATACTAATATTACCTATCTCCTAAGGATATTAAGAAGACAAAATAAGGTAATCTATGAAGAATTCCCTATGTAAATCATTCATGTAAGAACTCTGTTTCATGTCAATGTTATTGTTGATTCTATCAGAATGAGGTTGTAGAAGCTAGAAGAGTAGGGTCTGGAACCAGGGCAGTTAGGTTCATACATGTGACTATCTAGGCAAATTGGCTAAAATTGGATGGCAATAGTAGTTACTGATAGGATTATTAGGAGGAGTAAATGGGTTTTTACATGGAAAGCAATAACTGAACAGTACCTGATAAACAGAAAGAGCTCAATAAATATTAGCTACCGTACTGCTATTAATGAGCTAATCTGAAATCATATGAGGTGAAACCATGCGAACCCTAACACACAGAGTGGATCAGCTCCATTATTTAGCCTGAATTAAAACCTACATGTACTAACCTCAGTATGCAAATTCTCCGGAGAAATTATTTTGGTGAAAATGATAGCAGGTGCTCCAGTTATTCTGACAGAAAAGTCCGTCAAAATTGGAGTTAAAATTGCTCTTCTTTCCTGATGTCTTCTTATGCTAAAAGGTAAAATGAAAAATTATTAACCTTTTGACATTTTCAGAGATATGTCTCACTGAATTTGTACAGGTATTTGTTACTGTAAACATTAAGATGTGTATTGCTGTGATGCAGGAAACTATGCAAACTGTATTTCAAATATCAACAGGGTCACCCATAGGAGGCAGGTTACAGGGGGGCTTCCAGACTAAGGTACATTAGGCAGAAGGACCTGGCAATCCACTTAAAAAACAAACAAACAAACAAAAAACCTGGTCAGTGACAACCTTAAGAAAATCAATAAAATATTCTTCGATTTCGTGCCAGAAGATGAGTGTCCCTTCTGACTTGGAAACTAGAAGACAGTTGGAAGGCACCCAAAATAAAACTCTCCTCAATGTAGAGTTGACCTTAATGACATGAATGGAGTAAAGCTTTCAGGACCTTAGTTTACTGATGCGGCACAACTCAAAATAAGAAAAAACAGATGTTGGCATCCATTTAGTAGTCAGAACACATAATGATAAATTCATCTAGAAAAATGGGAAATTGTCAAAAAATGTAATGGAACACTTGAAAATGGTTGTCCTAGGCATCTGTGAGCTAAAATACACTAGTACTGGCCAATTTGAATGGGACAATAACATGGTCTTCTACTATTTCAGGAATGACAAACTGAGGAGAAATGGCATCAAATTCATTGTCAAATAGGACACTTTAATATCTATCTCAGAGCATAATGCTGTTGCTGCACTAACATGAAAAACTGGTAAAGTATGATTATTATTCATGTTGATAATCAACTACTAATGCCAAAAATGAAAAAATTGAAGATTTTTACCAACTTCTGCAGTCTAAAATTGATCAAACATGTAATCAAGATGCATAATATTATATCAATGATTGTAATGTGAAATTTGGAAACATTGAAGTATCAGTAGTTGGCAAATGGCTTTGGTGTCAGAAACTACTCTAGAGATTGCATGACAGAATTTTGGAAGATCCTATTCTCTGAAAATACTTTTTTTATCAACAACATAAACAATGATACAGCTCAACCTTGCCAGATGGAATACATAGGAATCAGCTACATCAGTGAAAAGAGATAATGGAGAAGTTCAGAGTCATCAGTCAGAACAAGGCCAGGAGTCACTTGCAGAATAGCCACCAAATGGTCATATGTAGGTTTCAAAGTGAAGTTAAAATAATTTTTTTTTAAGTCTATAAAAGCCTAAGTAAGTATGAGCTTAAGTTTATCCAAATGGAATTTAGTGACAATCTCAAGCACAGATTGGATGCACTGAACACTAGTGACCAAAAGCCAGACGGATTGTGGGATGACATCATACATGAAGAAGGCATTTAAAACACAAGAATGAAAAACAACAGCAAAATGATGTCAGAAGAGACTCTAAAACTGACTCTTGAACATAGAGAAGATAAAGTGACTGGAAGAAATTATGAAGTAAAGAGCTACACAGAAGACTCGAAATGGTGACTAGAGAAGACAAAGTAAAATATTATAATGCAACATACAATGACCTGGGCTGGGCTCAGCATTTCTCAAACTGAAAGAACTGAAGAAAATATTCAAGTTCTTGACTTGAAATACTGAAAGATTCTACAGCCAAAATTTTGAACAATACAGGAAGCATCAAAAGAGGAAATGAACACAGAGTTATTATATAAAAAAGAATTGGTCCATGTTCAACCATTTCTGGAAGACATCTGTGATCAAGAACTGATGGTACTGAAGGAAGAAGTCCAAGCTACAAAACAAGATTCTGGGAATTGATGAAACACCAATTGAGATGTTCCAACAAATAGATGGATCACTGGCATTTTCTACGACAAAAATTTGGAAGACATAGCCAAAGGTCTGGAAGAGATCCATATTTGTGCCCATTCTAAAGAAAGCTGATCCAAAGAATGCAGAAATTACTGAATAAAATCATTAATATCATCTGCAATTAAAATTATACTGAAGATAATTAAAAAGCGGTTGCAACAGTGCATCAACTGGGAACTGTCAGAAATTCAATCCAGATTAAGAAGAGGATGTGATAATGCTGATGTCACATGGATCTTGACTGAAAGCAGAGACTACTAGAGAGATATTTTCCTGTGTTTTATTAACTATGCAAAGGCATTTGACTGTGTAAATCATAACAAATTGTGGATAACATTGAGACAAATGGAACTTTCAGAACATTTCACTGTATTCATATGAAGCTGTACATAGACCACATGGCAGTTGTTCAAACAGGACAATAAGACACTGCAAGGTTTAAAATCAAAAGAGTATGTATCAAGGTTGTATCCTGTCATATACTAATTCAATCTGCATATTGACCATATAATATGAGATGCCAGACTAAATGAAGAAGAACTTAGCATCAGGATTAGTTAGAGGAAGACTCATTAAATCTATAATATGCAGATGACACAAACTTGCTGACTGAGATCATTTATTGATAAACATCAAATCCTACAGCCTTCTGTATGGGTTACATATCAATGTACAGAAAATAAAAGTTCTCATCACTGGACCAATAAACATCATCATGATAAATGGAGAAATTTTTGATATATCAAGGATTTCATTTTACATGAATTTACCATGAACATTCATGGAAGCAGCAGTTGATAAATCAAATGATATACTGCATTAAGCACATATGCTGAAAAAGACCTCTTTAAAGTGTTAAAAAACAAACATGTTACTTTGAGGACTAAGGTGTGCCTGACTCAAGCTATGTGCATATGCATGTAAAATCAGGAGACCAAATAATGAAAACTGAAGAACTGATGAATTTGAATTGCAATGCTGGCAAAGAACACTTAATATACTAGGGCTGCCGGAAGAATAAAATGTGTGTTGGAAGAAGTACTGTTCTCATGAACTTAGGAAACAATATCAGGAGGAACCATTCCCTGGAAAAGTACATCATGCTTAGTAAAGTAAAGGATGAGGGAAAAACAAAACAAAACACCCTGTTTTAACAAGATGGATTAATACAAAAATGTACAAGTGGCAATAATGGGCTCAAACACAGGACAGTGTTTCATTCTGAGGGAGGTGGGGTTGTAAGTGACTTGATGGTATCTAAAAATAACAATGCTTCTAACATTCTATTGAATAACTGCCATCATTAGAGTCTCCTTAGGGTTAGGATAGTCTCTCTCTCTCTTTTTTAAGTTTTTATTGTGAATTGAGTGATACTTTACATTGGGAAACATTAGTTCATTTCATTGCAACGATTACAATCCCCTGCATTCTTCATCATTCAACAGTATTGTTTTCATTTCCTCTGTTGTTTTTTTTTTTTTAATGTACACGAAAACACTCAGGAATATACAAACATTCAAACAGCCAGAGGGCACACCCTGTCCCCTGGCCACCAGCACACATCCCGTCTCCCTCCATGAGTCTAGAATCCTCAGCTGCTCTATCACTCCATGTCATCATCTCTGCCTCCATCTCTGGCATTACAACTTCTCTGGATAGGGTCCCACACTCCATTCCCGCTCTTCTCCCTTGGTGGTCCCAGGGTCATAGACCCCAGAACTGTAACATTGACCATTCACCCCTTTTTTCTATGAAACATCTACCTTTACAGTTGCAACAATTATAATTAGTCATGATAACAATTACTCAACATTGAATCACGAGAGTCTTGTCCCCATCTCCTTTCACCAGACCTGTCTAGACAGGATGAAAACCACTCAGTGGGGATTTTACCTTCCTCTGCACACTCTGAATCTAAACTACCTCTTGAAAACTTGTAAGCCAGTCACTTTGTGCCTTTCCAGGCCCTGCCCCATTTTAGGTAGCCAATGTCTAAGTTGCCCATCTCTATCAACCTGTGTACAGAGGGGACGGGAATGATCCTTACTGTAAAGATCCTTTCTCTCTTGGTTGATATTTTAAGTTATTACAACCATAAATATAGGTCAAATAAATCAGACTGTAGCTATTTACACTCCCCTCCCCCCCTTTTCCTTTTAGTTGGCTTCTGGACATCCAGCCACTGAAGCTAGGTCCAATGGGCACTACCTACAAGTTGGGTCACCCTTGTTCATATCCCCTCGCTTCATATCAGCTGGATGCTTCACTCTCAGCTATAGCCCTCCGTGGCCACGTCCTTGTCCGTGGGTTCAGGAGTTCCCAGCTCTCCCCGTACTCCAGGTGGATGGGGGTCTATGTCACTTGGTCGGACTCAGTCCACCTCTTCAGCGCTGCTTCCCCCCTACACTTCATCTCTGATCTCTCTTTTTTAAAATGCTAAGAATCATCTACTTGAAATAAACAGCAACTGTCATGATTTCATTTATTATTATCACGTGTGCAGTCTGTAAAATGGCTTTTGTGAGCTTGATACCAGGTTCTTCATCACAACAAGCCTGTATGTGAAGTGATTCTGGCTAGTTCCATATCTCTTATGAGGAATCTGGGTCTTGGCGGAAGCCACTCCGGGCACAAAACTTATCGAACTGGGCCTGAAGGGCAAACTGACAACACAGCAGCTCCTATTTTAATTCTTTACAGTTGTACCTTTGATCAATTATTTTGCAGAATACTTTTACTTTATATTCGAAAGTGTTAATACATTCAGAGGTAGTCCTACATGCATGGTAAAAGATGAAAGTGAAAATATTATTGAGAATCTAGAAGGTGTGATGGTAAAGACCTTCAGTATGAAACTGGTCATATTCTTAGCTTTCTTTTATAAAAAGAATGCAACTTTGTACTTTACTAGTAAGCAAAACTTTAAAAGCTTTTTGGAACCATTCAGTTTTCTTATCAATTATTGTTATTCTTAGGGGTTGTCCTTAGAAATATGTCCCTATTATTCCCTATATTTTACAAAAACAAAAGTTGTGATCAGAGAACTAGCATAAGTTACATCATGAAAATATCTAGACAGAACTCAATCTTTCTGCATCCTTTTGTATTAGAGTAGTCTAGTGAATGCTGTATCTTTTGTTGAACTCTGTAATGGGCAGAGCTTTATACAGT